TATATATATATTTGTAAAGATTTCAACTATATAGGTGTTTCTGCGCAACGCGCGGGCATTCGCCTAGTAATTGTATATTTGTAGGAAAAACAAGGATCATTCAAATGTCATTTCATACACGAATGCATTTTCTGGTGTGGTGGCTATTTTTTTCTACTTTCATTTTTTCTTATTAATACATTGTACTTTGAAAAATCTACCAAGATGTGATGTGGTGGCTATTTTTTTTCTAGCAAAACAATATAACCGGGTGTAAATCGTGTTTTATGTCTTAAGTATTTTTTTGGTTGTTTGTGTAATATTAAAAAAATGTTTGTTTATTAAAATAAAGTAATTAAATTAAATTAGAAAAAAAAATAAAAAAATGGAGTGCTAGAAGTGTTACCACTCCCTATCAAATGTTAAGATTAGATGCTAGATGGAGAAAAAATGAGGTGACATTCAAAAAGCTGACTTGACAATGTGTTAAGAGTGTTACCACTCCCCTTAGCCTTAGTGATCTACGAAAATTATGGTTATTTGGAGAATTTTTCTTATTTTTGGCTTATTTTTTTTAAAATCTTTGGTTTGATTAGCTATTATGGTCGAACTTTGTTTTTAATAAACGTGTCATTAGTTTCTCAAATATATAGAAAAAATGATTTATTTAAACAAAATTATTATATATACTAATTACACTTTTATGTTTGTGACTTTGATCATGACAGTTTCATATGTTGGTAGGTTTGGTTCTTATGTCTAAAATAAATTACAAAAACTATCATGTAATTTACAAAAAAGGTCCATATGCTGATATTTTTTACAAAAACTGTCCATGTGTTTAATACATTCATATGTTGGTACTTGGTAGGATTGGTCCATGTGTTGAAAATAAACTATAGATACTGTCCTTGTAATTTATAGAAAAGGTCCGTATGCATATTATTTTTATAGAAACGGTCAACATGTTTAAAAATTACAAAAATGGTCTATACCTAATAGAAAATTTATAAATTACAACCACCACAAGGCAGGTGTAACATCCTAGTTTTATTACTAATAGCCGCGATTCATGAAGCCATAACTTGAAATTAATATTTATGATCTAAGAAAGATGATTCGAAAATATTATAGTATTTTCACTAACTGGTTTATTTTATAGCTTAAAATTATTCATATATCGTATTTATAATAACTTTATTCACTTGCATAATATGTTTTTTATGTGGTTAATTTTTTCTAATAGTGTTTTATGAATTTATCTAATTTATTTTCATCTATAAAGAAATATTATAAAACTCTTTCATTTTATTTGTCGTTTTAAACATACATCATAGTTTAATACGAAATGGTTTAATAAAAAAATAGTAAAAAGCATTAATATTTAAGTCCAATTATATAGGGTGAAATTGATATGGTACTAGACATTTTTTTCCCTAACCCGTATACCGTACAAATTATAATTAATACAAAAATTTTGCTACAATTATCGTACCAAATATAGTAGGTACTGACTTACTTGACTACCAATAAATAAAGTTAGTACATGTTGGTAATGATATATACCAACATATATGAGGTTTTTTTGAATAATGATTTCTTTGTTAATCAGCATTGTGAAACGTGAATGTGGGTTTTATGAATAAGATTTTTGTAATTGTTGGTATTGAAAATTCTATTCAAAATGATTTTATTAATTATTACCACGAGATTAAAAGTTAAAACAATAGAGAAAAATGGGACACGCTAACAATGAGTTTAAAATTTAAACTTTATTAATACGGTAAATGATAATATCAAAATTCTTAATCTTAAACACCAAACATGCTAAAAGTTATATATATATATATATATATATATATATATATATATATATATATATA